GGGGTGTTATAGGAATAGAGGAAGCTAAATAAAAAAACCAACTACAATCTGAAAGAAAAGCTCAACCAAGCTCAAAGATCTAACTAAGGGGCTGTTTGGTTGGTTTTCCATTAAGTCCTGTATAGATGAAGTTGTCTGTGTGGATTAATCTGTCTAAATAGATTGGGGAGGGTTTTGTTTGAGAAGGTTTTTTCATAGATAGGAGGAGCGTGTTTTTTAATTGAGAGGGATAGGTTTGGAAAGAAAAAAAAACTTGGCTTTCTGCATAAAGCTCTCCCATAGAAGCTTACTGAATAAGTCACTTTCCATATCATCAAGCCACTACCAAACAGTCACGTATAGCTGACTGAATAAGCTGTGAGTCCTATTAAGCTCATTAAGCTGCTAACAAACATTCCCTAAAATCAATATTATCAGCAGAAATTTTCAATAGACATATTTAAAGATGACAGGAAAAACGAACCGATGTTCGAGTCCTCTTGTCCATGCAAAGATAGAAGCAATACTGTTTGTACTGGTTTCGTTTCCCTTCTGGTGCTGCCGAAAATGACGAGTTACAGTTCCATGGGCTGCCTCAGCTTCCAGTGTTTTCCCATCTGATGATAGCTGCAAACGACGGGTCGCGTTGGAATTAATTGACATCCTAAAACTACATACCCTTCTCAGAATAAAGATAAGAAATATACAAGTCTTACTGACCAAAACTGAAGTCATGAGACCCAGAGAACCAAATCCTGCACATAAAAGGAGTGCCAACAGTCAATTAACAACGCAACAATAAACTTTAATAGGTTGGGTAATCATCCAATTCGTCTGTAATCAATAAAGATTACCCTTGATTACAAAAGCGTTTGGTATGCAGACGGACCGGGATTGGACGGGACTGAATGGGAAGGGATAGGCAAGAGTGAGGTAGAGGCGAGTGAAAAATTGTGCAGGGTTTTAGGGTTTTAATTTGACATGGGTAGTTCAATAATTTACTATTTCAGTGGACAAAAAATGCATTCTTGTCCTACGCAGTCCTTTCCTGTCCTAGTCTAATTGTCGCACTAAACACGTGACAACAAGTTTTTGTTCTGTCCTGTCACTATCTGTCACGCATACCAAACGCATAGTCTATAATCCATTGCTATTTTTTTTGTCTTTGGGCCATAAAAAGTATAACCCATCTAAATCTGCAACATCACCTTGGGCAAGTAAATCGCTCTGGACATCTCCATCATAGTTCTTGCATGCCCAGACATACCCTCCATCACTTTTGAGTGCATAAGCCACCATATCATCAATCAATCGATGCTCATACCTTAAATTAGTACCATATCATCAATCAACCAATTAAAATTCATACATATATAGAGACGGAGGTTTGGGGGAACCCCTAAAAAATGAAAAACCGAGGAACACAGGGTAACCATTCATCGTGGACGGTATGCACATGTGCATACAAGTATTGAAGCTATTTATCATGTTCTATTCGCGTGTGCATTTTATGCGCTTGTGCATACTGGACAAATTGTTTACAAATTACTTGTATGCACGTGTGCATACCAGCATCCAGATGAACGGTTACCAAGGTATTCCTCAGTTTTTCTTTTTCTTTTTACGATTTTCCCCAGAACCTGACCTTACAGATATATCTACCATCCAACAACCACCACCTAAAAAGCACAAACCCACATCTAATTACAAAAAGAATTACCATATTGAATGTTCTTCAAATTTCTCCTTCCAATTCTCCTCATATGCCTCCTGAAAAATGTCCTTAAACCTGCAATGATCAGGGTCGAGTGTAATTCCCCAATTCTCTTCATATAAGAAAATTGCATATCAGAAAGAAAGGTACTGCTACCTGCCATCATATTTCTTCAGAATAGTATTTTTGGTGCTAAGATATAGAGGCCATTTCTTTGAAAGTGCCATTGCCATTGATGATTCAGCAAACGCACGAATGGACTACCAAAAAGCACAAGATTTCCATCGTAAGGTTTTATAATATAAAATAAAGCAAATTACGTTTTTCATCCCTGTGGTTATGAAATTGCGATTTTCGTCCCTATGGTTTACAATTTATTGCTACTTTCGTCCCTGGACTAATTCCTACCTTTAAAGTACAAGAGACCAAAACAGTAAAGAATTGTAAACCACAGGGACCGAAACAACAATAAATTGTAAATCATAAGGACAAAAATAGCAATGAATTACAAACCATAAAAAACAATTTATAAACCATAGGGGAGAAAATCGCAATTCTTCATAAACCATAGGTTAAAAAAACGTAATTTACCCTATAAAATATAATGCTAAGCAAAATTAAGAAGACAAACCTCATCAACATTATACATTGCAAGTGCAATTCCAGGACCCTTAAAGTCGAAAACATCAAGCTCCATGGGAGTTTCATCATTCTCTGGGACTGAACAAATCATGAAAAAAAAAAACTTACAGAAATGTATATCATGTTTTGAAGTACAAACTGTATTGAGAATGAAATAATTTTCAGCATACCGAAAACCAACTTGAGTTTTCCTGGTCCTTTAATGACTGCATCTGTAGCACGATATTGGTCACCGAAAGCATGCCTGCCAATACAGATTGGTTTCTTCCACCCTGCAAATTGACAAGAGGGAAGGAGGACAAAAATTAAGTTTCCACTGGACATCCATGATTACCAAACCTAGGTTGTGAAAATACTACCTGGAACTATCCTTGGAACGTTCTTGCACATAATAGGCTCACGAAAAACGGTCCCTGACATTCACAGGATTTTAACGAGTAAGAAAAGTTGACAACTATAATTGTATGTATATTGGTAGTGTAAAGAAGATGCCAATAAAGCACACTAGTGTCACAGCCAGTCCCGGAAACTGCAAATGTTCAAACCCATATATACCATCTACCCCCGATAAGAGATATACTAAAAGACTCAGCAGCCGTCCAAGAAATTCCAAAAAGAAATGCATACACACCCATGAACAATCATCCCCAACGCCATAAAAATATAAAATGATCTCATGGATCATACAAGCTGGATAAAGGTTCTTGATGTATCTACAGTCTAGACTAGGGACATGTGTTCATCAATTTGTTCCTCTTTACAAGCACTCAGAGACGGAGCCAGAAATTTTATCTAGGGGGGTGCCTAGAAAAAATGTAAGAAAAAACATGATTTCAAGGTTTATATGTTTTTTAATTAACTACTTGTCCTAAATGTAGTTGTAAAAAAGAGTTGAAAAACATGAGTGACCTAAACAGCATAACTATGTCTATATTTATACAAACATATACAAAATGTGTGTAGATAAGCATATAAATAATAGAAGTCCTTTGAAAATACATGAAATTAATCATAAGAGAAATTGTGTATTAATAAAGTAACGTGTTTATTTTAGAACCTTTAAAAAACTTGACATTTATAAAGGAAGAAAAATAAGAATTTGATATGAATATATAAAGTTTCAAGTGGGTAATTGAGGTTTGGAACTATATCAAATTTTATTTTTTATGTTTGAGGGGGACCCAATGCCACTTCTGGCTCCAAGGTGGCTCCGCCCATGAAGCAATACTCAAACAAAACTTTGTAAATTAACCTAGATGATTGCACATAGGTAAGAAAAAACATGGCACTTTAGAGTTCAATTGAGTGAAACACATCCAAAAAGCAACAGTGTGGATCTCACCACTGTGACCAAGAAAATCATATACAAACCATTTAAAATATTCCTGATTGTGCCGTTGGGACTCCTCCACATAGACTTCAACCCAAATTCTTTGACTCTTGTCTCATCTGCAATATTAGGAACAAACTATAGAATCTGAGATTAAACTAGCATAGTTAAATACAATAAACGGAAATAATGGATTTTCGAAGGCTGCTAGGGCTTCAGAATAAAAGATAAACGCTTACATCATTAGCACAAGTAGTAGGTTGTATTAAATGACTACTTGGGGGCTGTTTGGCTGGTTTTCCACCAAGTCATGTATGGATAAAGTTGTCTGTGTGGATTATATGTCGTGTAGATTGGAAAGGTTTTTGTTTGGAAGAGTTTATTCATAGATGTAAGAACCGTGTTTTTTAATTGGGACTTGGGAGGGACAAGTTTGGAAAAAACTTGGCATTTTGCATATAGCCCCCCTAGAAGCTTACTAAAAAAGTCACTTTCTATATCATCAAGCCACTACCAAACAGTCATGTATAGCTGACTGAATAAGTTGTGAGTCCCACTAAGCTCATTAAGCAGGTAACAAACAGGTTCTCAGTAAGTTTGCCATTTAGGTGGAGTAATATAGACCACTATCTTGGTGCCATCACAATCCATAAAACTAGAGGAATGCCATAGCTTCTATTTCCAAATTGAAGGAAACTGACGTATCAAATACAATTATCTGGTCAAACGAGGCATCCATGTAACCTCAAAAAATTGGCGAAAACTCAACCTATATGTATGGATGTTGCTCTAATCTACCTAGACAGCAAAGACATCCTCCAATTTATCTCTGCGAATGTGTATACTGAAACATATCATATGGTGTATGAAAGTGAATGAATGAATATAACAAAGTTTACAGAGGAAACGCTCAATTTTAGAGTTAGGACACATTAGAAATAGGTCTACTGAGAGTGGACAAACCAGGTGTGATTGTAGCACATTTTACAGCAACATTATACCTGCAAAAAACGAACAATTGTGGTGAGACTTAAAATAATAGTAAAAAAACTCTGTATATAAACATTTTGAGCAACAATAACCATCACTCCCCTCTTCTTTTCTGGAGTTGTTTGATCTTAGCACATGATTACCATTATCAATGCTCTCCGACTCCATCCATATTATCAGTTTCGTCAAATCAGTTATAAAAGACTACAACACTCCATAAAATGACTTGTGAATAAAGAATATATTAATACACTTCTAGACTTGAAATGCAGTTTCTTCTCTTATTCCCATCCCCCAAAAACACCAAATTCCTTCATATATATTCCTATCCCTAGACTAATGTATGCAACTTGTTAGTGTGTACCAGGATACAAGTGTCATTGTTACTAAGTGTATTATGTAAAGTATATATTAAGCTTAGGTAGGTAAAAGTATTATTCAATATTAGGTTTATAGAAGCAGGTGCTATTCTCTAGGAAGAATGAACTGCTCTCTAGGAATTTGTTATATCTTCAATATTAGGGGATTCTATTTCTCACGCATCTATATAAGTTAATATGACCTGTAATTTGTCTATTATAAAAAATAGATGCACAGTTTCTGCTTATTACCAGAGTATATGGCATCAGACCCTACTCTGCATATATCAATTTTTCAGTTGTCAAATTAGTCCTGGCCTATTCTAGGTAGTGGTGCTCAAAAACCCGACCAACCCAACCCAAAAGAACTCACCCAGAGGTAACCCAACACATAGTTGATACAAAATTAGGCCAAACTGCATCGATAGGACTGGAATTGGGTTAGGATAATTTGAACCCAACCCAACCTGATGAACCCGATGCCTTTGTATACTATGGACTTAACATGATTGTTAAGTTTTTGATAAAAATATGTACATTAGACATCAGACAACTCATAATTAGCTATATTCAAAATTATATTACAATTTCAATCGCAATTTTACTTTCTTATTTTCTTGAACTTTCAACTTTTTTTGAGTTTGTTAGACTTTTTTGTATGTTCTCATTATGATTTTACTTCATTCAAACAAAATGTTTAACTAGATTGTAAAATGATATACCAAAGTTTCAACCCAACCAAACTCGAACGATTTGGGTTGGGTTGGTTGTAGTTTTGCTAGGGTTGGATTGGGTTGAGATTTTTCAAACCGTAAACATTGGTTTGAGCTGTTCAAATGCCTTCAACCTGGCCAACCCAACCCATGTGCAACCCTAATTCTAGGTCTTCTGTCCATCCATTTCCCTGATCTTTTCAAGTCTTTCCAAGTTTGTCCTGTCATTTTATGGCAGAATCTACCACCAAGGTTGCAGCCACCTCCAGTCGGCTACACATGTGATACTTCCTCTCACCAACCACAAACTCAATGGGAAGACTTTCCTACATTTGGTTAATCCTCATGGTCATACATGGCCCTGGGAAAATTTGGTTATCTTCCTGGGAACCCTACAACTCTATTGTCGTGGTGCGACTGATCAACTCCATGGAGCCCCACATCACTGGGGCTCTATTTTCTTCTCAAATGTGCCAAAAAAATATGGGACTAAAGTAAAGAAGATTACTCTGACCTCGAGAATGCATATCAGGTTTAAGAATTGAAGCTCAAGTTGAAGAAGTTTCAGCAAGGTCAATCTTAAGTCACAGCATACTACAACTCCATGAAAGTACTCTGGCAAGAACTTGATATGTTTTACGAGTCAAGTTGGGGCAATATTGAAGAGCACCTAAAGTTCAAAGCATACCTTGACAAGGAAAGATTGTATGTCTTTCTTGCCAGACTTGATCGTGAAATGTATAAAGTTTGTGGTCATATCATCGGCAAACGGCCCCATCCGTCCAACAGAGAGGCATTTGTTGAAGTTCATGGGGAGGAAACTCGCCATTGTGTCATTCTCAATAGCTCCAAACGTTAGCAAGTTATCTCCACACACATCAATCCACCAATGAAAATAACTCCCCTTCATACGCAAGAACCACTTCAGTTCAAGCCTCACTCTGATGATCAACGGCCCCTGCTTTTTGGTAATCACCTATGGTGCAAGCACTGCAACCGTACAGGGCACACCGGAGCTACATGTTACCAGTTGAGTGGGTTTCCAAATAAACTGCCACTGGCACATCCTGACTGTGATTGTAGAACGTTAGTCACTACCACCTATGTCGACCAACTATCCAAGAATCTATCTAATGCCCATCTAACACGGGGGTAGATTGAAGCACTGCACAAGCAACTCCATCAAGCACCTAATACCACTAGTCACCTGGTTGGATGAAGATGGATGATCTATGTATGAGGATCCTTGCATGCCACACATGATTGATGCAGGGAGTTCAGTGCACTAGGCATTAATAGGCTGTAAACCAAGTATGATCTTGAATAGAACAGCAACTTATTTATCAGCTTCTAAACAATCATACAGACACAACAGAGATGCATAAATTGAAAGAATATGCATGTAGCATCCTTGGCTAACCGTACCAAATATTGTCCATTTTGTCCTCAAATGGACTAAAGGTTGTAAAACGCATCTAATAGAGGAGGTATTCAGTCCTTATAAGGCAACCTTAGTTCCCTTCCCCAACCAATGTGGGATCTTACTATCCACCCTTGGGAGCCCAGCGTCCGTGCTGGCACACCAATCTGGTTCCCAGCTCAGATACCATATGTAGTATTCCGTCGCTAACCATACCAGATATTGTCCGCTCTCTCCACACATGGACTCATGGTTTTGAAATGCATCTAATGAATGAGGTATCGAGTGTAAGGCAACCTTAGTTCCCCTCCCCAACCGATGGGGGATCTTACAATGCAACAAGTATTTACAGATATATTATAATGTTAAGCCAACCTAATTTTGGACAAGCAAAAAAGCAGTCATACATACACTATGTAAATTTGGCAAGGGGAAAAAACCAGTAACACTTACTTCAGAGCAGCATGGGCACTTTCTACAGTGACCTCATCATCAGTAGCATCACGATTCAATATTCCTAAATCAAAATATTTCACATCCAAATCTATGTACGGAAAAATGAGCTGAAAAGAAACAAGGGCAACACTCAGTAACGGATATGAACTGAACTCGATCAAATCAAGTCCGTAAAACAGATAACAATTTCAAATTTCAAAATCATCAAACCTTGTCTTTAATCATCTGCCATATGATCCTCGTCATTTCATCGCCTACAAATAAACAAAAATTGATTACAACTGCTATAGAGTAACAAGTATCAACACGTATTTCTATGAAACTTACCGTCCATCTCAACTATTGGATTGAGAACGCGGATTTTTTCGATGGCAGTGGTGGTAGCAGACGCGAAACAACGAAGTGAAACTCTGGATAAGCTAGTGGGGAGAGGAAGGCGGTTGCTGAATCTTACACTACGGAAGATGCTAGAATTTGATGATATTGGTAATCTAGGGTTTCTGAGGGGTAGAGGAGACGAAGATATCATGGTGGTGGCGGCGGCGGCGGAGGACATGGTGGTCAGACGGTGTTTCAGTCTGAGCATCGCAGTTGCGGCACCGTCGCTTGGTTTGTGTTAGCGTGATGCACAGGTCGGCTGGGTAATACGTTAAGAGCGACCAATGATTAAACCGGGTTTAATTTTGAACAATTTTGATGCTAACGAGTAAATTACGTTTTTATTCCATGTAGTTTGTTGAAGATTTCTGCTTTCATCTTTATAGTTTTTATATGAATAAATTGTATGAAAAAATAACATACTTTAACTTATAGATTGTATATCAAATCCATATGGCCCCATATGTTGTCCCTTTTTATGAGGTGATGTTTTGGATATTTTTATTGTAACTAAAAATTATTCGTATAATATATTGAGATACATTTCGATTTTAATATTTTGTTTTAATTAATATTATAGAGTGATAATGTTTTTATTTTGAATAAAAATATAAATATGAAGATATATCATTAAAAATAAAAATGTTACTCAAATGGTTTTTTCATCAAGTTTTTTACCTTTACCATTGAGAAGCTTTAAGAGCATCTTTATCAGATTCTCCAAAATAGAAAAGTAAAAAGTCAAAAATCCCGAAAAGAAATCATCTTTGTCTCCAACAAATTCTCTGTTATTGAGGTTACATAATTAATTATATTATTAAAATATTTTATATAACTCATAAAATATTATTTCTCTCTCTTAAACATTTAAATTCAAATAATCTCATTGGAAGGAATAAAAAACCATTTTTGTCTTATAGATAATCATTTTTCGGGAAATCTCAAAATCTAAAGAATTTCATCATCTCTCTTGTACTTTATCCATCTCTCATACTTTATCCATTTTGAACAAATGTGATACAAGAAAATGAGGTGGAACAGACATATAGTTTAGCTATAAAACATCAAATACGCTTCACACTTTACATTTTAGATTACTTTTTAAATTTTATTTATCTTTGTGATCCTATCACATGTCCAATCATATTTTATCCAATCTATCTGGATATCAAACACAGCCTAAAAGTCATAATTCCTTTACTAGGCCGGACTTGCATTCACTCAACCATCTCTCCTAATTGAAAAAGACAATTACCATCTCACATACACTCACAACTAAGAACAGTGATTTGCCCCTACCATGTGGAAAACCCGGCTCACCCTACCCGAATAGGGATGGAGCCGGCGATCCCCAGCTAAAACGGGTCCCAGGATCCCCGGTAGACACAAACTAAAGGATATTCTTCATGGAGTTTGACCGAGGACGAGATGTTAATCTCCATACCCGTCGAGAACTGGGGGCTATTATTAAAAACTGGGGTCGAGATCAGGGATTACAAAACCCGTCCATCCCCGCCCGGTTACCATGCCTACTCACAACTAGCCCACAAAAATATCTAGACAAATCAAATGGGCCAAAGCCCACTATAAACCCATCTATTGTGTTATTCAATCCAACAAGAATAATGAATTATATTAAGCACCTAAAATTATGTTTTCCTTTTTTTTGGAGGGTAACAAGACAAAGTTCTTACACATAAGGGACGAATCCGTAATTTTTTATATGATGGTACTATATAAAATGATTATACCTTCTAAAGCAATATTGTTACACTTTTTACAAAGCTAATTTTTTTAATTTACGACAGAGGGATAGTACGACGACACGTGTCACCAACCCATCACAACCACCCCATGGGGTCCGTCCTTGCTCACGTTGAAAGCTACTTAAAATAGATTCAGATTTTTGGTATAACATATGATCATAATAGTTTTGTGCACGATTTGTGGGGCTAAAAAACAAATATCGCCCCAATTTTTTTGTAAGTCGTGTTACATTCCTACTAAACCTATAGATCGTCTTAAATGAGTAATAAACAAAATAATGTATAAAATTTATAAAAATATTAAAATCTTACAAATTAAAAACAACAAAAATGTTTAATATGACAAAGTGAAAAAAATATCAAATAGTCGTTTTTGTTTTTGGTCGAGAGATTTTGATATTAAATAATTGTTTTTGATTTTAAAATAAATGATATACGTCTCCACTGGGGTGCTTTTTTTTTAAAACCAACTACGGTGAGTTTACAGGTTGGATTAATGGGTTATATAAATCTGGGCCTCAAGTGTAAGTACTCTCTTCAAAAACCAGTATTTAACATGCTAATAGATGACCATGCTAAAAACCAAACGATATCAGTATATCATACTCGAAAGTAAGGTTTGAAATTAATGAGATGTATGGAGACATGTTTTCTATAACTCTACCCTCGTTGTGAATACATCTCAATTGTTTATAGCTTTATTTTTGAAGTAGTATATAATATTCATATACAGCAAACAGAAATCATACGAACACTTCATATTTTAAATATGTAATATACTTTATATACGATAAATACAATAAATTAATTCACATATCTTCCTCATCATTGGTGAGGTTTGAACCTCTGATCTTTTATAAGGTAAAAGACTCTGATATCGTTAAACCAAAAGCCATTTGATTAAAAAAAATATCATAAAAAACTTAGGTTAATGATAAAAAAGAGTTATGAATAACTTTGTGTTGGTGTAATCATTTATTATTCCATAACTACCCTTTATGTTAGAAGTGCCATTGTAGATTGCATGACCAAATCCATATGGCCCCATATGTTGGCCCTTTTTTATGAGGTGATGTTTTGGATGTTGTTATTGTAATTAGAAACTATTCGTATAATACAGTGAGATATACCTTGATTTTAATATTTCGTTTTTTAATAGTCTTAATTGATGTTATAATACAGTTTTATGTGGTTTTGAAAGAGTAATAATGTTTTTATTTTAAATATAAATATGAAGATATATCATTAGAAATTGAAAAAAAAAATATTCATATTAGTACCAAACTAACAATTTAAAATTTCTCATTTTTGTGTATTTTTTTAATTCGTTTTTTATTGTTGGTTTAATGATATAATTATTATAAAGATAATAATTAAGTATTTTATTAGAACCCAATAGTTATCCTAATTATATTTTAGATATTTTATATTAAAAATGAAATGTATATCCTCTATTTGACTATATTTATCTGCAGTTAATTACACGAATTCAAACATAAAGTTTTAATAAGTTGTACTTACGCACAACTTACTTGTAATCTTAAACTTAAGTAGTGTGCATCAATAAACAGTACTTTATGCATAAAAATAATTTTTAAGAGTTTTTGTCAAATGTTTTTTGTAACTGTAGGTTTTTTGACCAAGTTATGTACTGACTAATCCAGTCATCACAGGTGAACTTTTATGTCCACAAACACTTTGATAATGCTTGGATTCGAACTTGAGGTAAATGAAATTTTCCACTACATCTCCTATAAGCCTTAACCAGTTAATACGAGTTAATACGAGTCTCCTTAGGGTTATTAGGGTTTTTTCCTGACTGTTTATATAAGGTCTCGTGTGGTTAGTCAATGTGCGAGCAAGTTAGTCTGGATATACATGTTTACAAAATAAAGAAAAAATTAGCATATGCTACTTTTTTTGTATACAATGTAATTTATATACGACAAATGCAACAAATAAACTCACACGATTTCTCATCATTATTGAGGTTTGAACCCCTGACCTCCTAGGAGGCAAGAGACTTAGATACTACTAGGTCAAAAGCCCTTTGGTTAACGCATATTACTTGTTGGTTTAAAAGTTGGTAGTTGGCTAATATTTTAGTTGCTACATTATAAACTAATCATGTTTGGTAAAAACTAACTGAGAAGTTAGATGATAATGTAAAAATGACATAAAAAGACATGATGAAAAACAAGAGCAGGTTTCAATAGATGCTCTAAAAATTTAAAATAAATAAAAATTTGATCCCTATTTTGGTGCAGCGAATTTTTTATATTGTTATTTAAAATTAAAGACAACAAGAGAAATTTCCAAGTTTAGAGAATTCTTTAAAATTGAGAAAAGACAGATGGTTTTTTTTAATTAATTTTTACCAATAAGATTGAATAATTATTCTTTTATACAAAAATTATAAGAAAATATATATAAATGATAATGATTTTAGAAAAATTGTTAAAGATTTCATAAAAATAGTGAGTTTTAATCAAAAGTGTGATGTATGATTGGTTTGAGTTTATACTCCAAATATCAAAAGTGTTTGGAGGTCTCAGGTTCAAATATAAGAAAAAAATAAAAATTACCTTGTGATTACGGAGGTTCAAATGTGGTGACTTTAGACTACCCATAAAACAGATGATCACCCTGAAATTAATCGACTTATATAGTAAGTTAGATATTCAGGTTAATAAAAAAAATAGCGAATTTTAAATATTGCAAGTCTCCTCAACCATCATTCTCAGGCCATAAGAGTCCAAATAAATAGGCGTTGATATTGGATTTTGAACTTATATCGTTGTCTTGTCTAGAAACCCCACAAATTATTTATCTTGATTTTCAAATTTAACTTTTATTGTAATTTTCTCATTTTTAATCCAGATAATTATAAATAAGCAAAAACCAATTTTGCTTTTTTTTTAAAAAAAATATTTTAATTTCATTTTATGAAATATATTTATAAGAACTCTTCTTATATGAAAAGAAAAGTAGATTTATATATATACCATATTTGGTCATAGAAAATACAAAATGGCAATGAAATTCGCTTCGATGTCTCATTAAATCATCATTGATGTGTCAAATCGATATTTCATAAGTTGTATGAGGGTGATTCCATACATATATATATATATCAGATATAATATATTGTTTTTGTTTTTCAAATGATATATACATGTGGGACTCATTCGTACTTTATAGTCAAAATTCCCCCAAAATAGTCAAAATAGCCATCTATGGGCGATTTTAGTGGTCATTTTGTAAAAATCTCTGAAAAGTGGTCGTTTTATTAGCGTATTGTGTATAAGATAGTCATTTTGGGTAATTTTCCTAAAAGTTATGGGATACCAATAATTTTTATTATAGTTTTAAGTTGAAATCAAAGTTCAACTAATTGCTTTGTACTTAAGGTGTTACTATGTTTTTAGAATTCATTCATTGTGTATGCTTGAAAAAACAAT